TGTGTGTGTCAGGGTGGGGAGTGGTCTGCAGGCTGTCGGCCATAAAGCACACAGCAGCCGGGGAACAGGCACACCAAGGCTGGCGGGGCGGCGGGGGGGGGGGGGGCGGGGGGGTCAGCACAGAGCTAATCAAAGGGATCAGAGGAGATCTGGGCAGAATAGTAGCAACCTTTGTGCTGTAGTTCCGATCATCTGTATCTTCTCCAATTCTCCATGAGTAGGGGTACTTAAGACATGACCACATTGAATTTTTTAGACACAGCCCCATACCACTAGATGTTGTAACCTCCTCTAGACAGAGCATCGTGTTTCATTCTTACAGATCTCATGGGCATAGAGTGCCGTACCCCCTTGCCGGCCCGGCCCTGCCAGAGGCCACGGAGTCTTGGAAGTTTGAAGGGCTGTCTGTCAGCCAGGCCCTCGTGGACTTTATAACACAATTGTGCAGACTAAACTCTTAACAGGAAACAAAGCCCCAAACACATGTCCAATCACAGGATTGTTGAAAGCAGATTCTGCAGCTCTCCCTGTACCACGGAGGCCAGTGTGGGCCAGCCTGGTCAGAAGAGGTTTCCCTCAGGAGGCAGGCCCTAAACTGCATCTGGGAGAAGCTACATTGGGAGAAGAAAGGCCATCCCAGGCAAGAGGAGTGCGCAGCCATGATAAATGGGACGTTTGCCCGCAGCAAGCCAGTGCTCTGTGAGCTCTCCTTCTAGAACTCTTTCTCTTGATAGGCACTTAGCTAATTTCCCCAACTCCTTCAAGTCTTTGCTCGAATATATCTTTCCAGTGAGGCCACAGTTCTCCCCAGCACTCCCAGGCCAGCTACCCCCTCTCTTTTTCTCTTTTTTCTGTAGCAATTACCATCTTCTATGAAATTTATTTATCTGGTTAGTTTGTTTGCTGTTCACTGTCCCTAGAATGTGAGCTCCTCAAGGGGCACCTTCTCTGCTCTGATTGCTGATGTATGTCGGGCCACTAGAACAGTGCCCGGGCATGTGGTGGAGGCCCAAGAAGTATTTTTTCAGTGAATGAACGAGAAGGATAAAGAAAGGCAGTGCTACTCTGGAACTCATGGGGCTTGGTTAGGACAGCAGAGTTCAACAACTCCAGAGGCACCATTCACGTATCACGATGTAAGTCAAGGTCCCCGGTGTCATGGGACACAGCAGGCAGCCCTTTAAAATAGATGAGTTGATGATTAGTGGGTTCAAATGTCACTTCTTTCTGTAAAGACCAGTAAAGTTTCCATAAAGGGCAAGTTCTTTGCTATTTCCTAAGGGCAGGTGATTAGACGGTATTGAAAATTTTTAACTCTTTTTATTCCTGTGAAAGAAGACAAAAATCCAAATTGTCTTTAAGACATGAATCTCACGTAACCATTTCTTGTGATGGGACATAATGAGAAATGGTTACATGAGGTTTGTGTGTTAAAAGCAATTTGGTTTTATAATTCCTAATTTCTACAAGTCATTTCCTATTCCCATAACTGGAAAGAGCTCAGCTCTCCTCATCGGAATTCATAGAGACCAGTGGCTCTGAAAGTGTTGTCCCTAGACCAACAGCATCATCACCACCTGGGAACTTGTTAGAAATGCACCCCAGACGTAATGAGTCAGCAGCTCTGCAGTGGGGCCCATAGGTGATTCTGATGTGTGCCCAGGTTGGAGAACCATAGTTAGAGATCATCCTCCGTTGGGAAAATCTCTTTCTATCGTCTTTACATTCCTAGTAGCTAAGAAGATGTTGAAACATACATTATGTAATTTGTTGTGTATAAATAGTTGGGCATCTTACTCCAAATATAAAACTATTATATGGAAGGACAGCCCTCCCAGGAGATCCTGCTCTATCCCCCTGCCTTGCTCTTTAGATAATTCCTGGACTAGAGAATGTTTAAGAGCCCTAAATGATCTGGAAGACCCTTTCCTGGTCTAATAATCTGGGAGGGAGAGAATAATACTAAACTTACACACCACTACTGCATTTCTATGCGTATGGCCTTCCTCTGAAAATTATGCATAAGTTCCCCAAGGCTTGTTTGATTTAAGAAGCACTTTCTAGAACCATGCCTAATCCCAGAGAAAACCAAATTAATGCTCCCCACAAAGTCATATGGAATCACACTCTTAGGAGCCATGAATACTTGTTGAAGCTAAGGAAGATTTGCCTGCCTTTGACTCTGGGAGTGTCCATGGTCATGAAATTCCTTGGAAATACGGCATCAGTACCGATAACTATAAAACCCTAGAGTAATAGAAAGCAGAGAGATACTCATGTCTGTGCTCAGTAGAACATATGGGCCCCAGATCACATTGTAATGATGAAATATAAATTAAAAGTGATCACCAGAACTCATTCGAAGCCTTGATTTTTTTCCAGTTTTTCTTACATGGCATGTGTTAGGTTAGTACCCAAATAACAAACATACCTTCCAAAAGCCCTGAGAGGGTTAGCCATTAATTCAGATGGTCTTGGTCAGAGATTGCAATGTGGCAAAGCTGAGGAAATTATAATGTAATTATGGCTAGTTCACTACATGTGTTAAATGCTCTTTCTCTAATACTTAGGGTCACTATGCCATTTTAATATTCTTGGACTAAGACCTGGACATGTGTTTGTCTCTTTACGAAGCTTGTTGAGATCCAAGAAATGCTAAAGTTGTGGAGTAGTAACTTACCAATGTTTTGTGCGTGTGTCTTGTTTTCTTTGTGATCAGAGTATGGGTCACAGTCATTGTCCGTAGAGTGCTGGTGTAGTTAACAACTGGCTCTCCAGACGAAAAAGGCCCAGTTTGTAGCATTTGCCAATTTCCATGGTGTAAACATTCTCATCATGACCAATTTCAAGCCCTCAGTTTGACATCATTGCATGGAAAATCTGGGAAAGATACACACAAACAGCACTCTTGGATTGGTGCAAGCCAGCTCCAACACATCATTGGAATGTAGAAAATTTGGAAAGCAGAAGAAAGGATTTAAAAAAAAAAAAACCCATAATATTGCTGCTGGGAACAAAAATCAGTTTTAACATTGGATTTTATAATACTTCCTTACGGTATTTTGTCTGTTTTATATAATGATCATTCTGTATATGTAATTTTGTGTTTTGCTTTTATCTTCATGGACTTCAGTTTAATGGTTGCATAATAGTCCATCAAATTGATGTAAGATCATTTATTAGCCCTAGCTGGGGACACATAAATAATGTTCCCTCATTATGGTTATTGCTACAAATAATGCTCTGTATTATTAAAACATCGGGTATAAATCTTCCTTCACCTCTCGGGCTCTTTCCTCAAGACAGATTCTCAGATCAAACGACTTCAGCTATGGGTCTTCCCAGATGTCATCTAGAAAGTTTGTGCCACTATATACTCCTACCAACAACATTTATGAAAGCCTCTCTCACTGTACCTTCACTACTACTCCTTCTTTTTTTAAAGGTTTTGTTAGTCTGATAAGTTTTTTAAGAGTTTGACATTGCATTTCCTTGCAAGCGTGCTGAACATCATTCATTCTCATCTCTATTTCTCCTTTTTAAAATCGTTTTCTTCGCATCAAGGGCTGCACAGTGAGGCAGTGCCCCCTCACTCATTAGGTAGTTTCTGCACTAGAGGATGTTTAAGAGCCTGCGGTGATCTGGTCGGCCCTTTCCTGGCTCTAAGGAATGCACCCCCCTCTCTCCTCGTATTGCTGCTTCCATCTTGTTTCTCTTCTCCAGGACCCAGGCTTGTGCCACTCTAGTCCCACTCTTCTCAGACCACCCAGGCACAGCCTGGGGCAAGTGGGTTCTTCCCCCACGTATCTGCAGGGCTCCTGCCCTCCCTCCTTTCAAAGCTCTTTCCAAGAGCCCTCTCCAAGAGGCTGCCGCAGCCCGTTCGCCTAAGGCCGCGGTCCCTCCTGTTCGAACTGTCTCCCTGCCCTGCATTGCTCTTCCTGCAGTATTAGCCGCCACTGACATCGGGCATTGTAGGGGTTCACAGGCTGCCTCCCCTCTAGAGTAGACATTCTGTACAGCAGTAGTCCTAGAGCCTGGAGGAGCATCTGAACGCTCCGCAAATACTCATTGGGTGAGTTGGTGTACTCCAGCCATACCTGTAAGGGTTTAGTTTTGTCTTGATAAAAGCAAAATCAATTCATGTGCTCTCTTTAAATGCTATTTGCAGTATCTGTAACAAATATTGTTCTGTATTTTTAAGGTATTATGTTTTTATAGAAGCAGAAGGTTGATACTTTTCTGTACCTAAGCCTCTCATTGTGATTTTTCCCCATTCAAATTACACCCACAATTCTTTTTCCTAAGGAGATCAGATAAATTTGGGCTATTCTTTATTCTTACATTTTTATGGTTTGATTTTTTTATATGGAACTCTTTAATATATAAAGAATTATTTTGTTACTGTGATAAAATGAGGATCGAAATTAGGTTGTTTTTTTTTTTTTCGTGCAACTTACCGTTGCGTTTTTGTTGCTGCTAATGACGTGAGTTTTGCTTTGAATCCTGCTCCATCCTATTTTAAAACTTAACCTATGTGTTTTCCTCTCATGTACAATCTATAAGCACCAGATCTCAATGGATATTTCTCAGTTATCTCCAAGATATTTTCCTAGTCCTATGTCTGTATTTTAAAAGCACCTTCCAATCTGGACCAAATACACTTGAGTTTGTTTTTGTTATCACTACAAGTTCTGATAAGATACAGAGCAAATAAAAGGAAGTATAATAGGAAGCTGGGTTCCCAGAAGTAGAAACATCAAAGACTAAAGTCCAGTCCTCCTCTAGCTGTGTTTTCCGGAATCACCTGCCAGGTGCTATCAGGATTGGAGAAGTCACCGTCTTATTGACTCTCTGTTAAACCCAATGCCTGACCCACCACTGTTGCTTAATAAATACTTGTAAATTGAATTGCATTGAACCTTAGGGTGTGATGCCTTTCCCGGGAAGCATTCCGAGGGACAGCTTTCCTTTCTCATGTGTCTTCTGTTTTCTCCTCTTAGTTGCGGTCCAGCGCAGAGCTCCATCCTGACCTGCTCACGGACTGCCTCACAGTGCAGCCCCTGCAGTCGGCCACCTCCCCACACGCTGCTGCTGCTGATGGGGCGGTGGGATGCTCCCCCGGGCCTGGGCCTGACCTCTATCCAGGTAACCACAGCAGAGGCCACGTCAGCTTCCTGCCTCCGCGCCCTTCGCTCTGGTTCAAAGGAACGCTCACATGAGAGCAATTCTCCTAAGATCATCTGTATTTTGCTTTCTTGATGAGCTGCAAGTTGTCCCCTCCCCACTTCCCATCTGATTTCCTGAGCTGCGTTGGCAGCAGACTGTTTTTTCTCATAAAGAAACACAGTAAAATAATGCATTAGCTCTCTTGGTTCTGGACTTCTGCCAAAAGTCCAGTGCACCCGGCTCTCCCAGGTATCTTAAATTTATTAACTTGATTTAGACCCAAAGGAAATGTTTCCCCCTTACTCAAGTAACAGGCTGCATGTGGATTTCTTAATGGAACAGTTATTGTCATGTTTGCATTTCAAAAGGAAGCCCCAGGTCTCTAAGAAAAATCTCACATCAGTCAGCCACCTTGTAAGAAGAGTTTATCAGCCGCTGCGTGGGGGGTTGGTAAGGCACTCCCAGACCAGCGTCCTTCTGCCTGGGTTTGAAGAATAGATGACTCTATATTTGGAAAATTTCATCTATGTAATGAAAAATAGGAAAGGATTAATATGCAATAAGGAAGTTATTTTTTTCGTTTACTTTGTTAGCCTGGATTTTTGTGCGTTTTCCACTTTCCATAATGATTATGGACTTGTGCAAACATAATTGGTTGTCATCCTCACATATGGAAAGCTCTTACTGTCACGCTATGAATATGAAAGCAAAAGTCCCAGCAGCTCCACACTCCAGACAATGGGGATTTTCTATTATCTGTGGATCGCAGGTCCCACTGCCCAACCCCCCATCTGATTCCAGAGCCAGGTTTTGGCAGCAAACTGGGTTTTTTTTCTTTTTAAAAGTACTAATAAGCCATAGAGAATTAAGAACTTACCGATGCATAACACTAGAATAGGAAAAGCAATGCTTGTGTAACTTTTTTAACTCAACAGTTCTCAGCTGATCCAAATGCAGGGGAAAGGGCATTAAGCAAATATTTTGAGAGGGTCTGTCATCAAGACATCCTTAATGTTGTCCCATTGTTGGTGGGCCCTGCTCAGTTGCTCTGGGTACTTTCTCTTAGAGACCCTAAGAGATCTGAAGGGCAGACCAAATCTTACAGAGGTTTTGGGTACAGGTACATAGTCACATATGAAATACACCAAAGCACAATGTTATCCACTCCCATAAATATTTTGTATTAGATATATACATGAAAAAGCGTGACTTGTTTTTGTTTGCACATATGTCTGTTTGATTTGCCAAAATATTTGATATATGAACATTTATTTTAGCACATTTCATTAACAGTCAGCTTACAGCAGCCTATACAGCCTGTCCCTTCTTACTCCAGTCCAGAAATCCATGATCTTACAAAGATCTGGTACCCAGCAGTTAAGAGTCAAAGCTAACCAGAATCGACTGAAAAGCGGGCCAACATCTAATATAGGTAGTTTATGGTAATGGGCTAGTCTTACTGCATTTACACTTGGAAATGGGTTTGGGAAGCCGTGATGTCTCTCTCTGTGGAAAACATTAGTATCTTTGCTGTGTGTAGCCTAGAGTGATGGCTGACTTTCAGAACTTAGGAGTCACATTTGTCTTGGTGTGTGTTTTGTACATCTGGTAGTGTTGTTCAAGTTTTTTTAAGAGGTTTATGTTGAACCAGCTTTGTCACTCCAGACAGATATCCTTTTTTTGTTCATGACACTTTTTTTCTGTATTTGGTCTTCAAAACGATTACGAGCTCTTAGCTTTGAACCTCCAGCTGTGTCAGGCGAGCTGCCACAATGGGCAGGGAGCCTGAGTTGTCACAGTGTCAACAGAGCATCTTCAGATTGACAGGAATTTTCTGTGACTCTGGAAACATTTGAAACAAGCAGGTGGCCATGCTGTTGAACTCTGTTCTTGGAATTTTACTTCTTGAGTCAGTGTGTAGCTGAAAGTTTATATGTTGCCTACTTATTTCTTCTTTCCTCTCTCCCTTGGGTCCTATTTTACTTTCTTTGTTCTTGCCTTTTTGAAAAATTGATTTAAGTCTTCTGTTTTTGCTGAATACATAACAAACCCGGAGAAGAACAAAGCAGGAGGAGAAACTACAAAACAAAACGTTAAAACCTTCCTGCTAAAGTTCTAGAAATGCACATGCCAGGAGTGCATGTTTCTACCAGTTTCACACCTGTGCTAAAGATCTATGGAAGGAAGCCAAACAAGTGAAAAATGCCAAAGGAAAATGAAGCTGTTCATCAATTAGTTAAATGTAAACTCTGAAGTGTTAAGGCAATTTGACAAAGATTAAGACTTGGCTAGATGGTAAAAGTACTCGGAGCCATTCCTTTTACCTTCTGCTACACGAAGTCGAGAAAATATTTGTTTAATGATTGTCAAGCACTTATACTTCTAAGTGCTAGTAAATTGATTTATCATAAAAATATCAGGATGTAGGATCAGAAGCAGGTTAGCAATGGGCACCAAGATATTTTAGAAGCCACACGATTGAAGACTCATAGTTTGAAGAAGTCGTGGTTTTGAAATGGACATTTTGGTGGCTTACACAGTTTGTGAGACTCCAAGAGAGGGGTGGTTTGCAGAGCACTAAGAAGAACGGGGAAGGTGTCATTTCTGACACATACAAATCTTACAAGTCTCCTAGCATGCTAGCTTCCCTTATTGAGACCGTTTTCAGTTGATGAGGCCGAATTTGATTGGAAAGGGTTGCCAGGAAAGACTTTTATTTCTGTGGAAGGAAATAGTGCTCCAGGTTCAAGCAGCTAAAATATCACTTGAGGCCACGCTGAGGACTACTTTAAATTGAGGTGTTTACTTGCCTACTATTCTGAAAATCCCAGGGCTCCCCAGACCCAATCCTGAGCTAACTTGAGAGCAATTTTGTGACCTAATGGAAAGGCCAGGACAATGATGAGCAATTCTCAAGGACGGCTCACTTACATTTTCTGCCCTTTTGTTCAGAAGTTCTATATCCTAGATATCTAGATAATGCTCCAGACTAGCCTATAAATTGAGGTGATTTATCTGATCATCTGAGGGAGAAGTATTTTACAGTCTATAGATCAAGGTGGCCACTTTTGAGGTTTAATGCCTGCAAAGAAGGTGGTGTTGGCTTCCTGGATGAACTAATGAAGCAGATGCAGATACAGTGAGTGAGTCTGCACCATGAGAGTCTACTCACTAACGAAGAATGCTGTATGGGAGAGGACCTGTCCCACGGGTGGTCACAAAAATTATGGCTCCCTCCAAACCAAAACTGCCTATAGATTCAGCAAACCATGATCTTTGCAAATGGCCTTAGCCATGAATACATCACATAGAGGCCAGTGTGGTTGAGATGTTCGAGTCCCACGGAAACCACCCCTAGAGTGAGCAGCTCGTGTAGCTAGAACAAGAAAATGTGCAAGAATGGGGGAATTTTATTGGTACCACTTTTGAGTTATAAAATAATTATCATGTTTTAGAACTTGCGAGTTCTGTTGAATGATTTTTTATTTTGAATGTAATTTGATTTTTCAGGAGAAAATGTAAGTGTGAGGCTCAGATATTATAGAGAATTGTAGAAAGACAACAAAGACTTTTTTTAGGGCAGGAATTTTTGAAGTCATAGATTGTCATTCCCTTCCCTTTGCCCTCATTACTGGGAAATAAAGCCTTCTCTCTCACAATATTATCACATTTTGTAATAAATAGCACCATATTAAATCTATGCAACATTTAACATACCGCATGAAATAGTTAATGCTGCATTTTAATGTAATTTATGTTATATGTTTTAATACATTTTCTGTATTCTTAAGTCGAATACATTTGCTATCTTGGAGTGCCTTGCAGAGTTGTAGGGGTCAGAACTAATTTTATATAAAGGTACCTCATACAGTCTACTTGCAAATAGTGGTTGTTAACTTAGGGACTTTATTAGAAGGTTCTAAATTGACATACAAATTTCCCAGTAGGTTAAACTTTACAGAATTGTGAAGATCAAATAACATGATCTATATAAAAGCAGGCATAGAGCATTATAAAAAATGCAGTAGATATTACTTGCATGATCTTCAAAAGCAGTGATTTGCTTAGAATTCACCAGAGGTGGAAGAGGGACCGAAGGACTTGGAACTGGCTGTGGCCAGAAGGAGGCAGACACTGGGCTCACCGAAGTGACTGAAGGGAAACATTTGGCAGTGTCTTTTCCGCGTCCCTGCTGACATTGCCTTGAACTGCTTGTCAGAGTCTTGTATTGTTCTTCACATCTCTTACATCTGTGGTTCATCTACCGAGTTGGATTGGGAAATCAGTGAGGGGGGCGCCTGGGTGGCTCAGTCGGTTAAGCGTCCGACTCTCGGTTTCCACTCAGGTCATGATCTCAGGGTTGTGGGATCAAACGCCAAGTCGTCAGGCTCCCCGCTCAGCGTGGAGTCTGCTTCTCTCTGTCCCTCTGCCCCTCCCCCTTCTTGTGCTCCCTCTCTCTCTAAAAAATAAATAAATAAAACCTTAAAGGAAAAGAAAGTCAGTAAAGGCAACAGCAAGTCCTACTCTTCTCAGATGCAGGCACTGATAGTTTTAACCTCTAGATTTCGCCTTCCACGGCCCTGAGCCAGTCGATTCGTGTGCATCAGATCACCTGGAAAACCTGGGAGAATGCACATTGCTGAGTCCCTCTCCCAGAATTTTCTTTTTTTTTTTTAATTTTTTTTATTGTTATGTTAATCACCATATATTACATCATTAGTTTTTGGTGCAGTGTTCCATGATTCATTGTTTGTTCATAACACCCAGTGCTCCATGCAGAACGTGCCCTCCTCAATACCCATCACCAGGCTAACCCATCCCCCTCCCCCCTTCCCTCTAGTACCCTCAGTTTATTTTTCAGAGTCCATCATCTCTCATGGTTCGTCTCCCCCTCTGACTTACTCCCCTTTTCTTCCTCTCCTGCTATCTTCTTCTTTTTCTTTTTTCTTAAAATATGTTGCGTTATTTGTTTCAGAAGT